TATAAGTTATAGTATTAAGATATTGGGTAAGAAATTAAACCTAAGCATTTGAACTTGTTTGTTTTTAATTGTATCAGAGTTTAAGGAATTTTATTTAAGATTTTAAGATATTTGAGTGTAGGTTAAACTGCATTTAACAGTCTGTTTGATATTTTTGTAAGCTTACAGGTATATGTGATCTTAAACAGAACTTCTTGTCAATTTCAATAATTAATACATGAAATATTTTATATGAGGAAGTTCTATTCACCTTTGTTGTTTAAAAGATTGTTTTGGTGGGATGGAAAGATATATGTAATTGATGCATTTAATAGGTCAACTGTTGCTATTGGTTTTTTTTTATTGCATAACCAGTATTTTTGTTGTTGTTTTTGACTACATAATCGACTTGTATGCTGTTACTGACTGTAATACACAGTTTTATTAGATAAGTTCCCATCAGTGACTTAGAATTATAGTTTGGGGTTTGATCCTGTGGCTGATACAGCACAGATGTTTTTCTTTTGAAGTTAAAAGTACAAAATGAACTTTGAGATGTGAATAGTATGTAAGTGCAGTATTGTTGTGTTCTGAACAAGACTATTACTTTTGAAATGATAATGAATAAAATTTAAATATACAGCTTGCAATTAACCTGAACTATTAATTATAATTATTCTCTTTAAACAATAATTTTAAATAAGTTAATTCTGTGATATAACTGCTTGTGTGTTGTATTTTTTTTCACTGATTATATATATACTGGTTATAATGTATGCTGTTTTAGTGAAGACTTAAGAGCATACTTCTTGGTGACAAATGTTATAACATCAATTAACATAAAAATCTAGTGTTTGATACAGTAATTATACATTTATATTTTCTGAGAGGACAATTCACTTCCATTCACAGAAATGCTATTGCTCTCATGTGTCTGCCTATGAAATTTACATGCAACTAGACTTGAGATAACTCCCACCTAAATTCACGTGTTTAATGAGAACTGTGGTGGTTCATGATGACATCATCATGTGATAATGGTCCTCAACTAATAGGAGGGCAACACAACCTCCATGCACAGTAACTCCCTCTATGCACTTGCACTCATATTAACTTCATTCTTATCTCCAGCATTGCATTAAACAGATGTTTTCAAATTTTCTCATCTGAGTTCAATTTGATGAGATTTGCATTTGTTAAAAATTTTTTTTTATATATTCTCATTAGCTTTTGTTTCAAAAGCTTTGTTTTTTAGTGACTTCTTCCTTTCCCTTTCTGGATTCTCAGTTTCAAGTGATCAGTTTTCACATTTTCGTCTTTTTATTACTACCCTCCTACATGACCTATCCTCCCTGTACTTCATGTTTGATGTGCTTCATCATGCTCTTGAAGAGTTTCCAGGGGAGGTTCATTCACTTCTTTTTACTACAATGCCCTTACCCTGCTCCTTTGGTTCTTCTGCTATTTGGACCTCTTAGGTCAGGATACACTCTTTACTAGTGTATGACTATCTACTTCTTATCTGCATGATTTTTGTCAGGCTCCCTTTTATTAACCTGACATAATTTGGGGATGTTTCTGATTTGCTGGAGTCCAGAGCTAAAGCAGTCTGGCACCAGTACTCTTTATATTCCCTGATTTCTCATCTTTTGCAACCACGCACTTCCACTCCTGTTCCTCGAGCAACTGAATCTGTCCCTGAATATTCCCATTCCACGTTCTTCCTGTTTTCCCATTACTATCAGGTTTGTCGCATATCACGCCCTATGGGTGCCTGTCTGTCTCAGTTTGCAGACCTTTGGTCACTCTTTCTACTGACATTTTGGTTATTCAAGTTCTCACCCACAGTATTTCTTTCCACTTCTCTTTTCCACCCCCTCTTTCTTCTTCCCATTTCCTCTTCTCCTTCTTCAGGCCCAGTCTATCTTCTGTGGAGATCTTTTGTTCAAACACACTGTCAGGTAAGCATACAACTCTTCTCCTGGGTTCTACTTTTGTCTCTGTGTTTCCCAAGAAGACTGGGGACTGGCATCTGGTAACCAACCTATCATCTCTCAAGGGGGGACCTGTTTCAGGACCCTTTGCTTTCAGGCATTGGACCTGCCCCTTTGGGCCCATTCACATTGGTTTGTCCTTTTGCCTGTTGTTTGAAGAGAGCTATGCAATTGGTGATGGACCACTTCTCAGCCTGACTGCATTCTACTAACAGAGTGGTCTCTCTGCTCCAGGTCTTTTGTTGGGTTTTCTCATGGTTGGGCATGCCTCTCATAGATGCCTTTGGTACCCCTCTCAACTCCAAGCTTTCTCTTCTGGTCTTCTGTTCTTCATCCTTGGGCACTGGCTTTTGTTGCTCACAGGCACAACTAGTATCACCTCTTTCTATATGCCTATCCTTCTCTTCACATTCTCCCTTGGTTCCTCACCTTAATATGACACCCCTTGTAAGGTTCTACTGGTGGCACTTATTTGGCCAGCTCAGCCTTGGTTTCTCCTGCTTTTTCACATTGTGTTCAGACCCCCCCCCCCCTTTATCTAATGCCCCTTTGCTATTGCTTCAACCTCACACATCCCTTTTTCATTAAGGGATATTATCTCTCCATCTAGTGTGGGGTTTGTCTGAAAAATTGCTCTTCAGGCCAGATTCTCTAATCATGCAGAATGCTTATTATTACACTTCTATCACTCTTCTGCTATGTTTATCAACAAAAGTGGTGAGTCTTTGTTGATTATCCACCACTCCTTTTTTCCTGGCTGTTCAACCATGATTTGTCACTCTCCACCATTGCTGCTTATTGGGCAGTCTTGTCTACTACATTTTGCCTTTCCTAGTACCACAGGATGTTTTCTTCCCATGTCCTCTCTACTCTGTTCTGCATCTTCATTCTTTACTCCTTGCCTGACTGGGACTTTAATGCATGCTCTCACGTATACTCTGTTTGAGCCATTTACTTCTTGCTTTTTTGTTCCATCTTTCTCTCAAGACTTATTTCCTCCTCTTTCTTGCCTACACTTGCTGTTGTTCAGATGTCTACTATTGATGCTTCCTGCATCCTCTTCCACTGCACATCTATACTCCTATACCCAGACAGATCTTTCTTTCCTAAGACTTCTGCTGCTCAGGAAGTTAACCATACTTTTTCTCCTATCTCTCACCTGTATGATCATTCAGACTCGGATTGGCTCCTGTGTCCAGTTCGAGTAGTTTGGTGTTACTTATTACAGACTTCTACCTTTTGGGGTCCATACCATAATCTGTTCCTATCTTGGGATCCCTCTTCATCCAGGGACTTTTCTCTTCTTCTACCTTTATTGGATGGGTCTGTCAATTCCTGGTTGGTAGATTCCTCTCTGGATGTGGATGTTTGCAAGCTATTTCACATTATTTGCATCAGATTTGTCACTTATCTCACTCTATCACTTTCTGCTTTCACCGGCCCTTAGACAAGATCCACTAGGTAAGCATGTAGATGACTCCCCCACCTGTTCGTTGCTCATTATCTCCATCATTTGGCCATTTTTTCTGTTGCAGGATTTTGACTTTCTCCAGTCACCATTCTTCAGTCCACCCACATCTTTGAGATTGGTATGTTCTTCTCTTTCCCTTGTGTTGATCAGGATTCCACCAGGTGGCTGGCATTTCCTTCCAGGATTTACTTATTTTTCAAAATCTGCATGAAGCCAGGATAACGGGAAGTGTTCAACCCATCTACCCTGGCTATCAGTACCCACTGCAAGATGGGATGTTCTGCGAGACTACCTGAGGTATCCTTATGGTATAAAAATTTACCCAATTGTGCAATTCAAACCAAACCAATTTCATGAACTAACAATTCTGTCCATCCCTGTGACACTCGAGGCTCTATTGCCTCTCTTCCCTTTTCACTTCTGGGTGAAGAATATACCCGGGTTGAGTTGAGATAGTATTCCATGGGTATGCTCCTATGGAGCCCCTGTCATTGGATTTCATACCCCATGGACTTCCCTTTGGACACTTTCTGAAGAGAGCTCATTGAGGTAAGTTTTTTCACTGGCCTCTCCATCAATTCAACATGGGATCCTAACATTTCTGTGTTTATGGAGATGAATTATTGCCTCAGATGTTAGCATTTTCCTAATCTGAAAATGCATTTCCGATAGACACCTCCACACACATTCCCACCTGACCTCCCCACTTCTGGCACATATCTCATAGGCAGGCACACAAGGGAAATAATATTTCTGTGTATGGAGATGAGTATCTATCGGAAATACATATCCAGATTAGGAAAATAACTTTTCTCAATACCATTTTGTAGTCTTGCATGTTAAAAGAAAATTTGAATAAATACAGTATATATGCTAATTAAAAACATTTTGTAACTATAATAACTACATTTATAATTAGGCCAAGAATATAGATGAAGCAAATTTTTTTTTATTAAACTAAATGAACTATGTCAGAGAACTCCTTTCTGTATCAGATATTGATTTTGCTCCTATATTGTATTAATTTATTAGTTAAGATTTCATGGTACTTCAAGTGAAATTTATATCTTCTTTTCCAAGTGCATTAGCTCATTTATTTTTATACAAGTCCTTACATGATTTTATTTCATGATGAAAATGTGTGTGCAAATGTTTCATTTTATTGTATTTAATTTTATATGAGTTCTTAATTGTATTTTCACTGTGCTTGACATTAGAAAAGAAAATTGATGAGCAAAATATGTGGTGACAGAAGTAAAATATTTTTCAGTTTTGGCTAAATAATTTCTATTTAGATTCTGATGTATCATAACCAGGAGTTGACTTAGACGCACTGAGGCCCTCAGCTATGCCTAGCTTGAGGCTTCCCTCACCCTGGCCATACTAAAAAATTAGATTTAAAAAAAAAATATTAAACCATTTTTTGAGGCCCCCATAGGGTGAGGCTTGAAGCTATAGCTTTTCTAGCATAAGGCAAAGTCTGCCACTGATTATAAGAAACTGAAACTACTTAACTAGTAAATTTATAAATCATTTTTTACATTTTCTGTTTACAGAAAAACCAAAATTGCCTGAGAATTATCAACAAGAGACATGGGGTAAACTGAAAGAAGCTGTTATTGCAATTCAGACATCTCGATCCATTCACACTTCCCAGGAAGAGTTGTACCAGGCTGTAGAGAATCTCTGTTCCCATAAAATGGCATCACAGCTTTATGAAAATCTAAAAAATTTGTGTGAACAGCATGTGAAGTCTAATGTTGATCAATTTTTAAAATATCCTTTATATCTAAAATCTTTCATTTATTACTGATAATTGTTTTAATTTTTTTATCCCTCAACAATATTTATTCTTGTACTACAATAAACATAGTTTTAATATGTGGTATCAATTATTGTAGTTTTCAGTTTTTATATATGTAATAGAGCTGAGCCATGAGCCATCCTGGCATGGTGTGATGTTTAGGGGCACTGGACTTTATATTCATTATTATCAAGCGAAAAACACTGACTTTTGGTTCATTGGTAACTGTATAACAAAATATATGAAGTCTAAGCTCATTTTTGAATTATTAACGATAATAATTTTACAGAAATTAATTTGTAGAAATCTTAATGCTTTGTTATCATTATATGCGAGTTATTTGTTTTGTTATAATTCTTGAAATAATAATGGATAAATCATTGATACAGTTGACCTTAACTGTGCTCACAGATAACATGAACAATGCAACTTTTTTGAAAGTTATGAATGATTGCTGGCAAGCTCATTGTAGACAGATGGTGAGTTATTCATAAATCTCATTTTCTATTATACATATATGTGTAATTAAAGTATAGTTATTACATTAGAAGTTTTCCATGATAAATATACATAATTTATAATATGATCAATTACAGGGGAAAAAAGTTAGAGTACTTTGCTGTAATATCTATATCCTATTACTGCTTGACAAAATCAAGTAAACTTTTAATAATAAGTGTGATTCATATTACATCTCATTTTAATACAGTGTGCAGTTTTATTTTCATAGCGCTTATAAAAAAAAGTAATGAATGTGTAATAATTCAGTTTGCTTTTTTTCGTAAATATATGCATAACATACAAGAGCAGTGGGCCCCAATTTTTTTCTGAGAACCAGCTAGTCCATATTCCAAAATTTCACGGACTGCTTCTTACAGTATTAACTTTTTTTAAATTACTTTTATGTTATATCATAAAACAGTATACTTCAGTAGCTGTATTTTAAAACACATTTTTCTCTTCCACCATCTTGTTGACTGGCAGTTGGGTGCCACTGTACTAGAGAAATGTGTATCAAAACCTTTTCAGTAAAAACAAACAAACAAAAAACATTTTAAAACTTACCTATTTCTTTAAAGTTCTTTTAGAAGAAAATTGTTTTTAAATTCACTCTTAACCTTGGATTGTGGTATTCTTGGATTCTCTGATTGCCCTCAATGTAAATGGTAGGATCCAGAAAAATTAGAGAACTGAAGGATACTATATCACATAGAAAAGGTCTGATTTTCTTGGGCTTTGAACTGAGTCTGTCTCAAAGAAAGAGTCTGAAACTAAAATTGTACAACTCAACAGTATTAATTAACAAACACAAATCAAAGGGAAAATTAAACACAGGCTAGTTTTTATGGTATGCTGTAAAGCACAAGAGAGGGAGAGAGACCTTTAATAAGTCTCTCAGCAGTTCTGGCTTGAAGTTAAGCTTCAAGCTAAACATGTAAACAAATGTGGAAAATAAGAAAAACAAAAGGCTAAATGAAACATTACAACTCAAAGTTAAGCTTTAAGTACTAAAAGTTTACAAGCTGTGAAAGAGAACAAAACTATAACTATTGAAAACTAACTATACCTCAGCTGAAAATTTGTCTTTATCTTAGCCAATCTCAAACACAAATTAACTGTAAATTGACCAAAACAAAACTGTAAAAACATCCAAATTCTTTGACAATGCCTCACTTCTTCACATAGAATAGCTCAATCCCTCATGCATGTGTCTATGAGATTTGCTGCATCATTTGCATGCCACTAGACTTGAGCTAACTTCCACCTAAAAATCATGTGTTTAATGTGAATTGTGCTAATGCATGGTGATATCATAATGATAAATTACTTTGTGCAGTAACTCCCCCTAAGCACTTGTGTTCAAAATAACTTCCTTCTTTTCCTCATTATTGTCTAGAACAGATATGTTTTAAAATTATTGATCACTTACATGAGATTTGGACTGGTTTATTTTATTACTAAAGAAAAACAAAAATTTCATTTCCAGCTTACCCATTATGAATTCTTAAGTGATGATGTTCCTAGCATGGAACCTGTTCCTATTGTGGTTACTGGTAGCTTTTCTGGGGAAGACATTTCAGCTGTTGTTCAGTGTAATATCGTTTTTTTTGTGCACACTGGGCCTCTTCTTCCCACCCATTCAACTTATGTTGCTTCTCTTTAATTTGAACATGATCAGGATGATGATAATTTGACTAGCTATTTCCCTCACCAAAGTCTTTCCTGCCTGGCAGGGGGTGGACCTCTTAACTTCTATTAAGTATTTCCCTTTCTAGTGTCCAATTTTCCCACGTTTGTCTCATACTTAACACCCTCTTGTTTTATGTGTTACTTCTCATCATTTTACATTATGTCTGAGGCACTTCAGGATGCTTCTGGAAAGGGTTTTATGGAAAGATTTGTTCTTTTCTATTTACCACATTGACTCATACTACTGCTTCTGATTTGTCACTCTTTACTTGGTTCCTCTGCTGTTGGGACTGGATGCTCTTCTAACTAATGTGCATCTCCCTCCTGATTCTTTGTGATCTTTATTGGGCTCCATTTCTTTTTCCAGAGTTTTTCAGGGGTGTTCCTGACTCACTGTAGACCAAGACTGAGGCAGCCCGGCATCAGTCCTCATTGTCTGCTATGGTTTCTTGACTTTCTCAACCTCACCATTCTGTTCCTGTGCCTAGGCCTGCTGAATCTGCATCTCTCCTTCCCATCTCATCTTCTTGGTCTTCTTCTACCATTTTCCTCCCTCTTCCTGATGGTAACTACTCTGTCAGATCTGGCCTTGTGGGGCTTGTCTGTCTGTCGTCACCAACCTTTGGTTTTCATTTTCATCAGACAGATGGGTTATTCAGGTTCTCACCTCAACCTATCTCTTCACTTCTCTTCACCTCCTCCCTTTTTCATTTTCCTTACCTCCTTCCATTTATCTTCAGTGTCTCAAGGATAAGGTCTCAGAACTCTTGGCCAAGAATGCCATCAAGAGAGTGTTTACCCCTACACCAGGTTAATACTCTCACCTTTGAGTAGTTCCCAAGAAGACTAGGAACTGGCATCCAGTTACTGACCTGTCATCTCTCAATTGGTTTGTTTTCACCTGTTGTTTTCTTATGGTGAATTTCTTATTCCTTCAGTGGTTGTTTTGACTCAGAATTTGGATGAACAAGTTCAATGTTTCAGACATCTTTTTACAAATTCTGATCACCCTGTCCTCGATATGTTTTCTTTGTTCTATCCACTGGGATTTGTCCTTCCAGTACTGTGCACTTCTTTTTAGCATTGCATTTGCTTCTTATCTCCTTAAATCATGGGGGTAATTGTCCTCCTTGTTCATCCTTGTTCATGGATTAAGGCTGTGGTTCCATTATTACATAGATGATTGGTTTCTCCTCACCTCTTTTTGAGAGGACTCCTCTCACACCTGCATTCTTCTTCAAGAGGCTGCTTGGCTGAGTTAGCTTGTCAAACCTTCAAGTGTTTTCTAATGCCTGCCCTATATTTGGTATATCTAGGCATGTTCTTCAACTCCCATCCTAGTCGGACTCGGCCTTCCCCAGTTCACTTATAAGCAATATAATGTCTTGTCACCAGGGCTTTTGTTTACATTTTACACCTTGCACACAAGGTTTTTTTTGTTTTTAGGAACTCTGGCTTCTCTTGAACTGTTCATTCATTTAGGCCACACACACACACACACACACACACACACACACACACACACACACACACACACACACACACACACA